ATCCAAGTAGATAACTCAGATGTTGTTTTGGAGGTGATCCATATAAAAAGTGTTTGACTGGTTTTTCTTTTTTTTGGAAAGCATCTCTTTCAGGAGGGACCTCTTGTGAATAGTGGGGCTCTTCATGCTGCTGAATCACACGTCTCAGATGGGTTGCAGGAGCTGGCTGAGGGTCAGTGATGCTTCCCAGCTCAGCCCAGTGTATTTGCAGTAGTGTCCTGTTTCTCTCCACTGGTTTCTCGTGCCCGAGCCTGGACAAAGCCCTTGGTTTAGCTGGTAACAATGTGAGGGCAGAAGGTGCACCAAACCCGTGGGCTTGAGTGCTGCCATCAGGAGAGAGGAGAGGAAGGGGGTGAGGATGGAGCACACAGCCCAGCTGGTTGCACATCAGAGGCTTTTAAGGACTAACAATAACATCTCAGGCTTTCCTCGGTGAGGGATGAGATCCCCAAACCAGAATGTTCACAAGAGAGGCAGCCCCAGCCCCGTGGGTTGTCCCAACACGCTTGGGGCGGATAAGCACAGCGGAAAAGCCTGAGGAACTGCTGCCAAACGACTGGGAAGATGCAGCCCACGGTGTCTGTTGTGTCTGAGATCTCTGTAAAGTCTCTCGCATCTTTCCTCAAGTTTAGTTTTCCAGTGGAGGCTGTTGCAGTAATGAGAATGTCTCCCATCTGCTCCTCACATGGCTTGGCACATTTAGCCAGAGTATATATATTTTTATTATGGGGTTAGCCAGTGGTAACCATGACAATTAGACTTATCACGCAGCATTTTTTTTTCCCTCCTTGAGTCAGTTTGAAATGCTGACAATTAAATGGATACAGTACACTTTAGAGATCCATCAGTCTCTTTGTTGTCTTGACAACCAGAGTATATTTAGAAATGTAACAAGTACATGGAGTTCAATTGCACTTTTGCTAAAACATAGTTTTGTAGCTTGAGAATTTAATCTGTTGTTTGTAGATCCAGGTGCTTATTTGAGCTCTGCCTGACTTTCTTTTTGGTCTCTCTGGGAAGCTCCTACACTGGCTGGTGGAAAGAAGGTCCAAATCAAGCAGGGAGCAAACCTGCCCACTGTGTGTGGCAGKGGCTTGGGTGAGGGGCTGGCAGTCGCTCTCTGTTTGGGTACGGGATGTGCTGAGCTGGGTGCTCCTGTCTTCTTGTGGTTTGGCTATTGATTTGCAGTGACATGGGAGCAATAGCAGGGACTGTTTCTCCATCTAATTTCTTCTGTTTTGTCTTTGATTTCATGGGGGTGTGTTTCTTTGATTTTAACAAAATACTACTACTAAATTTTTTTTTTTGGTTCCTTCCAGCTAGACTGGCAAAATTGAGCTCATCCTCTCCCCACCGAGCTGGAATAGCAGCGTGTGGGCTAGCTGTCTGGAGCTATGGATTTTTAAGGCTTCATCCAGGGCTGGATGAGAAGGAGGGAATTACGATGGAGTGCACTCAGTGGAACTCTAAATATCCCTGTCTCCCAGCAGCTCTGAGCACRCACTGATGGTGGGTGTGTGTGGAGTGTCTGTGTTACTCTCTGCCCTTTCCCTTTTGAGCCAGGAGAGAGCTGAGGTTGGTGCAGGCACCTGAGTGAGCGTGACAGTGCAAATGTGGTTGATGTGCCAGCCCAGGAGAGCAGCTGGGATGTGTGGCTTCCATCTGCCACCACCCAACTGCCCAAAGGCTGTGACACAATGGGCTGGCACCACAGTGCCCTTGTTACACTCAACWCAGGACCTGGCGGTGCCACTACATGCTGGCTTCAGATCTGTGTCTGAACATGTGTGGTTCAGAGCACTTCTCTGGCTTGGGTGATAAATGAATAAARTGAAAGTCAGATGAGGAAACAGCTCCAATGTTCCCCACTGTCCTTCCCCCTGGCTGACCCAGAGCTGTCCTGGTCAGGGCTGACCCTTCAGAAGGCTGTCAGGTTGAGGAGCTGCTAAAAGGGGCTTCTTTGTGGTGAAGTGCTGATGGCCTTTCATAATCAGCACTTGAATCTCATGACAAGGCCTGGGATGCTCCTATATTTTCTGCAAAATGCGAAGCAATGCTCTTCCATTTCTCCCTATCTTAGGCTTGGCTTGTAATTGGTGTATGGCAGTATAATGTGGTCAGGAAAAGTGAAAAAATCCCAAACAAGCCTGAATTGTCCTTTATCAGCCAAGCTGTAGCAAAGCAGCAATCTGAACAGGAGATTGGTTCCAGCAGATGGAGTGGCCTTTTKCTGGAGGGAACCAGTTCATTTGGTGAGATGGTTTAAAGAAGACAGGGCTGTGTCCATGGCATGGGTGTAGTGGTGTTCAGCCGCATCCACCCCTGGGCAGGGATCTGTAAAACTGGTCAGTAGTGCTGCTCTGCYCCCRGGGAGYACAGGGATGGTCACTGGGGTGGTTTATTGCCAGGAGGTGAGGAAAGGTCCAGGGAGAGGAGCCCACCCTGAGATCAGCTGTGAGGGACAGTGACAGCCCATGAAGTGAATCTCTGTTTCCTTGGGTACACCACATCTTGCCTATACACTATACCCAAAATATTAATAAGGCTCAAAAGAAGGAGAGATCTATGTGATTTTGTTTCCTTCTTCTGTGTTTCTTTTTYATTCATTACTTGTCAAATAATGTGTTTGATTTCTCAGTAGGTATGCACAGCTCAGTTTCGTTTTTGTATTCTCTTTCTTCTCTCCGTTTTACCAGTTTCCCAATGAAAATCCCAAACCATAGTTACATTTCCATTCCAGCTTTGTTTGCAGACTGTTAACATGTCTTGTTAGAGTGTTCAGTTGCTGCTGGGGTTTATTCTTAAAATATAACCACCAAAACCGAACAATCCTAATGGCTATTCAAGAGTGCTTTAAATAAGTTACCCCAATCTGTCTGACAAGGATAATGGTCTTCTATTAGGAGATACTTAGCTGGAGGTTGGATGAGCTGTAATGTTTATGGGTCTGCAGATCTGTAACCAGAAAAACTCAGGATAACTCCTTGGATTTCAGTGGAGCTGTATTTGTTTATTACARCTGAGGCTTAGGCAGTGCTTTAGATGCAAATTGCAACCTCTGTGAAGTTAAGTGGGGTTTTGATTTAATTTCTGGAAGCAGTAATGTCAGCAGAGAAGCGAAGAGCTGGGACCCACATAGCCTGAAGTCTGTAACTCTGGATTGCTCTCTTTCCCTTACTGTCAAGATCAGATTCCCTTGGTTGGGGCTACTAATTAAAATACAGCTTCTCTTAAGCATTTCCTAAAGGCAGGCAAGAGATAGTGGAAATGCAGCCTATGCAGATTCTCTCTCTCTCTCTCTCTCTCTCCACACTTTTCAGAAAATGCCAGTGCTTGGCTTGCTCTCTCTGTGGCTGGGCTGTTGACCTGGAGCTTGTGCTCTCAGCCCCAAAATTGCTAAGGCACTGTTCTGCATTACCTGCTGGGATGCAGAGAGCTGGAATCTCCTTTCCTCAACTTGCCTGTGTCCATGCAGCAGTCAGGAGACATGGAGCACTGCTCATCACCCCCACTGTGTGTGGCACAAGTGATTCACCATGCATTCATTTCTGGTCACATAAGGGGCATCAGTTTAAAGCTGGCTTGAGGCATAGGTTAACGYTGGCTATTTGAAGTCTGAAGTCTGAAAGCAACATCAAACAGGGAGCAGAAAATGTATCATGCACAGAAAAATCTCTGGGATTTGTTTCTCCCTTTAAAAAATAATAGTAATAAATTCCAAACTGTTTGCATATGCTGTCTCTTCTGTGGTCAGGACACCTGTCTGCCTCTTTGCTGATACTTGATACAGGCTTACTGTGCTTGCAAAAATGTTAACGTGAATTTTTTGTCATGGCAAATATGAAAAGAATATCCAGTGTCTGTGTGGGCAGCTCCTCAGCAAATTTTTCTCTGCTTTTTGTGCTTTGGCGTGGATCTGAAGCAACTGCTGAAATTCTGCTCTCGTTCTTTCACCATAGACCAGGAGGGCAAAGCTGCTGCCCTGCCAGACCTGGTTCTCCTGAGCAAGACAGCTGGTGGTGGTGCTACTGAGTTTTAGCCTGGCTTCCTTAGAAAAATAATCTATGCAACTGGCTAGAGGTGTCTCTGCTTCTTCTCTTTTAATCCCTGGCTGGAATCAGGAAAATAGGGTGAGGATGCAGACAGGAGGAACTGGGGATCACCTGGTGCAGCCAGGAGCATGGTGGGCTGGGAGACCTGGGCCAGGCTGAGGTGGACCTTTCACCAGTCATCACTAGTACTTTATAAAGTTGCTTATTTCTTCTCCAGGACTGWGATTGAAGGAAATAGGAAACATCAGAGTAAGCTCAGTTATCAATAAGCTGGAAGTGTGAAAGATTGCTGGTTGAAAGAAGCTTGTGGTGACTTAAAAACCTTGTGTTTTCTCTTTAATTGGGTGTCTTTGGAGGCACCCAGAAAGGAAACCAGGGCTGGAGGTGGAGGCAGGGTTTGGGCTGTCCCACCCTGACTCTTTTTCCACAATGGCTGTGTGTTTAATGCATCCCATCTCTGCTTGGGTGCTCCTTGATGCTCACATGGCAAAGCCAATGCTGTGGGAGTGACTCACCCTTGGCCTGAGCAGTGGCAGTGGCTTGGGAAGAAGAGGCCCTTTAAGCAGGAGAGGCAGAAGGGCGTCTGGTCAGGCTTTAAAAGAGACTTTGTTACCTGCAGCCCTTACGTCAGCGCCTTTCACCAGCTCTACAGTGATTTAAAACAAGTAGCTTCTCTTCCAAATAAACCTCAGCTACTCCAACACTTGCTCAGATGTAATCTGTGCTGCCAACGTGTGAAAAAMCCCTATATGGGTCAAAACAGGGACAGACTGACACATGAGTTGTGTCAGAGGGGAGAAAAAAAGCTCTGGTCTGCTCTGTACAGGAGGGCAGCTGGCCTTACATGCCCTTTTGGGGCTGTTTTCTTGGCGAGGTGTTACAGCCAGCTTGATTTACTTTCTGCTTTTACGATGAGCAAAACACTGATTCTGACCTTTCTGTTTTCAGCCGCAGAGGTCCCTTGGAAGAGCCTGTGTGTTCATCTGACTGGGTGCCTGACAGGGCTGCCTTGCTCCCAGGTGAGGAATGGATCAACTCTCAGGGCTTTTGCCAGCTGCTGAGTTTGGGGAGAGTGGGGAGACCTTGGTACCATGTTTGGGGATCAGCAACTGATGGGCATTTCTCCAAAGCCTGGGGTGATGGGAGGCCAGCCTGCCCAGGAGGCTTGAGGTGTTTTTACTGCTTCTGGCTCCAAGTTTGGAAGCAGCCAACATGCAGGCTCTCCTGCAAATGGGAGTGCTGATTKGGAACAATTGCTTGGTTCAGTGGGTGCTTCCACTCCTTTCTGAACAAAGCTTTCCTGCTTGTAGACCTGAACTYGTTCCCCATCCATGACATAGCTCTCTGCAGGCAGAAGATGCTCCCAGCTGGTGGTGGAGAACTGTATTCTCCAGTCTGTATTCACCAGTACAGCTGGTGGTGGCTGTGTTATTAGCTGAATCTAACTGTGTTTCAGTGGACAGATAAAAATTAATGTGAGGAGCAAATTAATTCATTCTTTAGAATTGCCAGTTTGTCAAATTTTCTGGAGATATTTAGCTGTGGTTTAAGGATCACCTTGATCAAYCACCCCAAAGTATCGTAGGAGTCCCTTGCAGGATTATGTGTGGGGCATAAGTTGTGCTCTGTGCCCCCCATCCCATGATAGGATAGTTTGGTTGCAACAAGGGTAAGATTGCAGGAGTGGTGTGAGAGCAGTGAGTCTGTCCTCAAGTTGTGCCACCTCAGAAGGCAGAAATGTGCTGGAGATGCTGCCAGGTTGTGGCATCTGGGGAAGAAAGCAGCGTGTGCAGCCCTGCTGAGAAGAGGGTAATGCCCTGGTGGTGGTTTTGACCAGTGGAGCTTCTTTATTTGCCATGATGTTACCTGGCTTTAGGACCATTAGTGTGGCAGGCCAAGATGAGGACCAGTGAATCTTCATTGTGTTGTGTCACTGRATTTAACTGCACTTTCATTCTGCTCTTTGATACACAATGTTCATCCCTCCTTTCTTCCTTTACCCTTTTCTTGGGTTCTAATTTTTGTGTTGGCTTATTTTTTTTGTGTGTGTAAATTACGTCTAGCTGGAGATGAGATTTCAGTATCCTGTTTACTGCAAACAGTTGGGCCATTAATAAATGTTGACAGACAAAGACAGACCAGGGATTAATAAGTAGAGGACAGGAGATTAATAGCAAGAGCGTAGAATCTGGTTCAAGGCCTGATCTTCTCAGTTGCTGGGCTGTGGAAGATTAATGGCAGCTCTTCTGTTAGTCTCACTCTTTCTGTGGTAGCTTTCCAGGCTAAGTTTAATAAAACATCCCAGTGGGTTGCTGTAAATATGAAATCTAGGAAGAAGCCCATTGTTATATTAACTAAATATGTTCTTGTGTTAACTAAATGACACAATATTAGTTTTGCTTTCTAATCAGCACTTGAGCAACATCAGTGCATTTGTGAGTGGTGAAGTCAGATTTTCAGGTGTTTACAACTCCTCTCAAGACAAAAATATATCATAAAATGTATCTTGCCAASCAAGCTGTGTCTGACAGATTGGTTTTTTACTCTGTGTCCTGTGCAAGGGATTGATWTCTCTTCTCTTGACTGGGTTTTCAGCTTCATTTCTGTGAAAAATTGGGCTCTTGACCTGTTGCTTCTGGTCTCTCATTAGGTTTGGAGTGAGATTAGATCACTGCAAGAAAACACTAGCTTTGCAAAGAGCMCTCCTGGTTAAATTTGTGGGAGAACTGTAGAACATGGGACTGTGTGTCACAGAGAGTTTTATTTTGATGGAAGTGCTTTTCTGGGTATCCTGTATAGAAAGTCAGCCTCAAACTCTTCCTTTAAGGCTGGAAGYGTTGAGCCAAGCTCTCCTGTAGTCCTTTGACCTCTGTGTTCTGGTGTTTTCCATAGTCTCTGCAAAGATGATCCCAGCCCTGTTGCATAAGGTTACAGTGATGTATGGGGATGTGTAGGGATGTGTATGGCCATGCTGGGAAGGGAGCAGCTGTGTCCCTGTAACAATGAGCGTGGTGCAGCTGGGACCAACATCAGAACTTCACGCAGCAAAAGCTGAATTTCTTCTCCAGGGAAGAAAGGCTACACACTGCTTTGGTGGCCCTGTAACAAAGCTTTCCCCCTCTTGTCTGCTCTTGCATGCAATGCCCTTGGCTTTTCAGAAGTTAATTGATTTGTCTATATTATGATTCTCTCTTTAATTTTATTTGTGTAAAGAAGAACGCACGCTAATCTTTCTCTAGAGAAATGTTTTGCGTTTCTCCTCTTTGAACGTTGGCCCTGGGTCTGCTGTTTCTAATGAGTCTTTGACTAAACAGCCACGGTTCCCACATGCTCCAGCCTTGACACACACACACATCCTTGTACACCCATGTGCCTGCTCCCAGTTGAGCTGAGTTTGCCCATTCCCCACTTTGGGATTTGTGTCGGCGAGGCAGCACCTCCCTGGGGAGCCCTGCGTGTGACAGGGGGCTTTATACCTGCACAGAGAGACAGACATGGCCTCAAACAATCCATCCTGTGAATGGGATGGGCTGTAAGCTCTTTGCCCCCTGTCCTCCCACCCCCTGGCTGGTTTAAAGTGCATCTCCAGGAGCGTGGATTCCTGTGGGCAGCGCTGCCCACGGCGAGGACCCGAGCGAGCGCTGAGCCGAGCACCCGGTGCTGAATTACTGTCTGGAATGCCACTGGCTGCCAGATCCTTGATAGCTTGTTTTTAATGAAGATTCCTCCTGTAATTCCTAGAATATCTTGCAGTGCAAAAAAAAATGAGCGGTGTGTGTATTTTGCTGTGGGYTGAATTTTTTCCTGCTCTTCACAGTTCCCTCCGTGAACAGAGAGGAGGAGGAGGAGGGGGAAGCAGCTGACTGCTTTTTTTATTTTTTGTTGTTGTTTTTGTTTTTCTACTTGACTTCTGTGAAATATGTGGCGATCAATCGCTCGCGACTAACAAAATGTTTTTGTTTCTCTTTGCAAAAGCATATGGGAGCTGCAGGAAAAGCATATGGGCGTTTTTAGGAAAACATATTGGTGAATGGACAAATTATAGTGGTGCCAATATGTTTTGGATGTCTGGCTAGACCACTACTRCTACCACACTTGCTGGCATGCAGACACATCCACAAGATTTGCAGCATGTGAGTGGTGTGTGGCTGCTCCTGGGGAAAGGCAGGCTGTGCTGGGTCAGCCCCTGTTGGATCCGTGCTGTGATCCATCGTTGGGGTGCGTGACAGCCTCATCATGTCCTGGGGTGGGCCTGGGGCTCGTGTCTATGGCAGCAGATCCATTCTGTCGGTAGCTGAGCCCAGAGCTCCACTTGCAGCTGGCTGCAAGCAATGATAATGGTAACCAGTTTTCTCTCTGCTGAGCAGAACACCTGAGCTTCTTGCAAACAGCCAGGCAGCCTCTGGTTTTCCTCTGCTGCTCTAGCAAGATCTTTATGTGTTACCATGGGCTATTATTTTAATTTCTCCATCAAGTGGTTTGCTTTTGAGGAAATGCAGAACATATGTATTGTTTCTGATCCCARTCCTCTTGGCCCTGATACTGGTGGTCCAGGGGAAGGGATCCATGAGCAGGGAGGAGCTTGGCAGGGAGCAGTAAGGGGATGAGGTGCTCTTGGTGGGTTCTGGTGGCACACAGCATCCCTACAGTGTGAGCCCTGCTGTGGACCCCAGTCCTGTAGCTCTGATGTGCAGCCCTTCCTGCCCCTTCCTTCCCTGCTGCCTCTGTCTGGGATGGGCATGGCCATGCTGGGCTGCAGAAGAGGGCAAAATGTGGCCAAAGATTGAGGGGATAAACAAGAAGCACATTTGGCCAGTCATTTGGATGTTGTGTTGTTTATCTCGGTTATGAACCTGCACTCAGATATTCTGAGTGGTAATTGGGCACCTTTTAGTGCTCTCCTGCTTATGCCAGCTTCAGGATGATTTGCTGGTGAGTAATTTTACATTATTTAATGTAGCCACTTTCCTTATAGCTCTTTTGTWCTGTGAGACAATTCTCTATTTTATTATGCAAACAGTACATTAAGATCCTTGTGGGCCTAAGTTCCCAACAGTGCTGGAGATGATGGCAGAGGAGTAGGTTATTTCAGAAATCATGGTTTTCTCCTCTAGAAGCTTTCTTGGAGTTCTGCTTTAACTGCTTTTGGTATTATACATGCTTTTAAAAAAAAAAAAAAGCTAAAAAAATCCAGTACTTCCTAAATGTTATAGAGCTCAAAAAATACACTGTATGCCTTGTCACAATATTTAATACAGAGTGCTATTTACAGTAATGAATCAAAATGTCAGTTTTTAAAATATGAACTGTCAGAGTGTTCCTACTTTGCAGAAAACTTTGATGTGACAGTTTGTTAATCATATGACTATTACATCAAATGTGTCTAAGAGTACTTTTGCTCAACAAAGTCTTTTTTTATTCTTTTCCCCTCCCCTTTCCCTGTTAATTCTGGCAGGGTTGTTTGACTGAATGCACTCTGATTAGAGGTCGGAGGAATCCAGGGCTGAATGCTTTTGTTTAAGGGCAGAAGGGACGTGTCAGGGTCTGTGTCCTTGCTGGCCATGGTCACCTGCTCTTAGGTGCAGCCTGGTTTGGATTCTCTCTCCCCTGCTGAGTGCAGGGCTCAGGYACAGCACTGGTGGGGCAGTGCTGGTGCCTCTGGGGTGACTCTGCATTTGGGGCAGCTGGGGTGAAACTGTCTCTTGAGTAATCAAAAGCTGAATTGTACAGTAGCATTTCTAATCCCCATAGCTTTAAGATGAAGMCACGAATAAAATAAGGAATTTGAGGCTGTCTGTGCATCCTGAGCTGAAGGGCTGSTTGTGCAGGGCAGGGCTGGTGTTGCTTCTTGAGGGGGAGGTGGGAGCTGGGGATGCCAAGGTCCTCCCCCAGTGCCTTTGATTACTCTGGACTCAGGTCAAGTTTTGGTTTTGGGCCTTGAACTCCCTTGCATTAATTTAGACCGGGGTGCTTTCCTTTTTTATTATTCTTTTGTTTGCTTATCTGCAAAATG